ATGAGTATGCGCTTAAGAAGATTTAAGACTATGACAGATTTGCGATAGTTTAGTGTGCGGTTGTATATCCGCTGAAATCCGGCCACCAATCCGTTTGAGCGGATCGAGTCTAACTGACAGAACGGATTCGTTTTCTATATGAATTACACCTTTTTTGCAAAAATAAGCAGCCCGAGTATTCGGCTAGCCACCTTTTTCTTTTGCTTTCCTTTCTCTCAGTCTTTTCTTTTTTCCATTGTTATTTTACGATATATTACGAACGTACTCGAAATTTTCATCATGATGAGCCTAAAGTCCTCAGTATTTAAAAAGAACAACCGATCGTTTCAAATTAGTTATCTAAGTGCTTTGTGTGCTAATTGATTGCTTGTTATAGCCAGAAAATAAATTTTGAAGTAATCAGTGATGACCGATCGCTACAGGACTACGTTAGTGGTTACCTGAAGGTTGCGGATTTGATTATTGAGTAACGAATGCATGGAAAATCGAACTTTTTTTTTCTCTGCCCTAATATAATTTCATTTTGGAATATGTATGTGTGATGCAGAGCATTTATTCTAACCGGTCTGATTGATTGTTTACTATGTTATTTTGGTATTCAGCTGGTAATTTGAGATTCAGTATTTTTCATTGAATACATGAAAGATCAAATGTAGACTGAGACTCAAGACCTGATTAAGGATGTATAATAAACCTTTTCTTGTTGACAGTCGTGAAGACTTCACCAAGTTGGTTTGGTTTACGGCTGGCAGCTTACAAAGGACAGACTACCTTTAAGTTTACGTTAGTAGTTATTGCCAGTTCGAACAAGACCTCCGACTTCTACCAATTGTCCATAGACGAATGAAAGAGTTGGTTGTCTCACTAGGATCCAATCCCATAAATAACAATTATGATACGTGTGGCGTTTTCGTTGCTAAGCTATCGATATTCAAAGTTGGGTAAGTTCTGCCATGATGAACGTTGAGCATTGAAACCGGCAGTACTACTAGGGGTGTCGTAGTCCATTGTGGTCAGCGAGTTCTAGGCCTTTTTTCTCTTCAAAAAGTTTTTTTTNAAAAAGTTTTTTTTTTTGTAAAAGGAAATCACTTATTGCTCCGTTTACTGAAAAGTCCTTTTTGAACTTGGCTCCGGATCTTGGTGTAAACCTCTATAGTCCTCAGACTCTCATCCTCTTATTTAATGGTTATCTTTTGATTATGATTTAGTGGTTTTTTCCTTATTCTCCACATTTGTTTCATTCCTACCTACTTTCTTTTCCCATATGTAATCTGATTCTTGGTCCCCAGCACTGCTATTCTTTCGTCTTGATGAGAAACTGTTAAAGGAATCCACTCACTGTGTTTAGTAGCGAGTGTATTGGGTACATTATACGAACGTATCAGTCAGTAAGGGATCAATCTCATGAAAATATCCTTTTTTTGTTATTTTTATGGTAATTAGATTTTGTTTTTTTTTTCAAAATTTTATTTGAAGATCTCTATGTTTGGCAGCAGATAAAGGATTTAGGTTTCCATGTAGTTTTGGAAAAAAGTGATGAAGGTTTCGAGGGATTTTTGCAGTTTTTACCCGTATGTGCTTTTTAGTTTTGTTTTATGAGACAGTATTCGTTTTTGTTATGTTGTTATCTTTAGCTGCACCTAACCTCGTAATTAAAGCTATTTTGTACTTTTTCGAAACTTTTTTTTTCGGAGTTCATAATAATTTTCATTGGAATACTGTGGCGCATAGTGAATGGGGTGCTTTGCTTTGTGAAATGTTGCCCCGCAGTCATCCCATT